TTTAAGTGTAAACAAATTTATGTTCTAATTCAAAGTTCTGAGAATTTATTGTGAATTGTTTTGAGTTTAGTTTGATTTCCTTTGAATATTGCAATTGTTATGGAATGTTATGTGAAATCATGTTTTAGTTTATAAAATGTTTATATATGTATTTCCTATTCAATTGGTATATAAGCCATTGATTACTATGTATTATTTGTCTATTTATCTATCACTTATCTGTTGCCAACTATTGTAAAAGTCTTGATTTTAATAAATATATTTGTGTTTAACTAAAAGCCAAGTTATACTGAATTAGTGTCCATAAGAGTCTGATCTCTAGTGATCGGGCCTTTCGGCCCGATTCCTACAAAAAAATATTAAAACAGTGTTTGAATGGAAGCACAAAATTGTTGTATTATTTATACAATAATATTGTGTTTTATAAATCATTTCCAAAAAAACTTTTAATTTCCAAAATATCTCCGATTTGTAAAAAAGAGAAAATCAAACACTTTTTTAACTCTTACAGAGGAGTGTCAGTACAGCCAAACCTATTGAGAATTTTTGACACAATTATACTACAAAAAATTTATCCGCATATATGTTTAAATAACTTAATTCCTGTCCAACAGTATGGGTACAAAAAACACGTTAACACTTCTCAACAACACATTGATATTCAGAATATACTATTCAATCAATTGAATGATAAAAATGTTATTTGTGTTGACATTATTTTCACAGATTTATCAAATGCTTTTGATTCAGTCGATTATAATATACTTTTCAACAAATTATATAATATGGGAATAAATGGCAAATATCTCGATATAATCATAAATGGTTTGACAAATAGGAGACAATTTATTACTTATAATAACATGAGTTCAATATCTAATAAAATATACTCGGGTGTAGCACAAGGAAGTGTACCAAGCCCGTTATTTTACAGCCTTTATGTCTCTGACTTAAATTTAATATTAAAATGTCCATATTTTCAATGGGCTGATGATACAATAATTATAAATACAATTAAGACTCAAAATGACATAGATGATCTCCAATTAGATTTAAACAACTTTTATAATTATTGCATCGAAAATAAAGTCCAGTTAAACGAAACAAAGTCTTATCATTTAAGGGTATTATTAAAATCATGTAATTTAACTAATTATACCATTAATAACAAAATTATACAAACTATTGATAAACATAGACATTTGGGTATTATATACGACACAAAACTAACATTTAATTATACATGTAATGATATTTTTGACAAATGTTTTAAGAAATTCAATTTTTTAAAATACATTTGCAAAAAAGCCGATGGTTTTACTTTTTTGAAACTTTATAAAACTTATATTTTACCTTTAATTGAATACACGTATAACTCTTGGACACCAAATACAACACAAAATGATAAAATTGAAAAAATTCAAAGACGTATAACTAGTTATATATGTTATAAAATGGGAAAAACTGATCTCAATTACGAACAAAGACTGCATTTATTAAACATTAAAACATTAAAATCCAGACGAGAAATATCAGCTTAAAAATTGTACAAAAAATTAGATGTAATTTCAAGAATATTCCCAATCAATGGATAAATTGTTTGACTTTTCACACAACTTCACGAAATGGAGTATTAATTGTAACAAATATTCGTAGAATTAATTTAATAGATAAATATTTTTTCAATTATTGTACAAAACTTTTTAATAATCTCCCAATTTATTTACGTAATGAACAATGTTATAAGAAATTTGTAAAACATTTAAATGATATTTTATTATGAAAACAACACGTTA